TATATTTATTTTTTTGGAGATCACTGTATGGGAAGATTGGCTTCACAGGAAGAAGTTGATGGATGTATGCCGTCTCATTTTCGATTATACAGAGACAATATTGAACTTATTTTGAGAGCGCTAGTCACTTCTATCATTACCATTTCTTTTTGTGATGGGAACAGATTGACTCAAGCTGCTAAGAGAAGGATCATTGTTTACTATATTTTGTTTGTATAAATAAAAAAGGGGGTTTCAGAGTGCTTTTTAAAAATATTTATTGCTTTACAGTATAGTAATATATCAGAGCCTGATAATCATTTGGTTCCCTGTTCTTTAGGAAAGGGAGTGGAGAGGTGGTGCTTAGGAGGTTGGTCAGGGACAGGAAAATACCAACACCTCTACTGAGATATAACAGTCCTGATAATAGATAATACACTGTATAATTGACCTTATATGAAGGTACTAGAAACTGTGCATCTATAGGGCCCCATTTACATGCATCTATAGGGCCCCATTTACACCTGGGCATTTTGTAGCTCCAATATTGAAGCTTTAAAATGCTGAAAATTAAAATTCCCATTTATTTTAAATGGTGCCTGTTCGCAGCTGAGCACTCAGACTCCTGTTGTTAAAAGCCTGTCACTTGAAAAAAGTACATGAACATATTCTGAGTTCTGTTTTTTGCCTCATAGGCTTAAATGAGAAAACCTGAAACAACACACAAAAATGCATGTCATGCACATTTTTTAAGGGCTCCCATAATAGTTTACAGTATCAAAAACGCAGGATCCTACCCCAAAGAAGCTCCTTTATAGCACATTTCTCTCAAAACACGTAAGCAAAAATATGCAAAATAGCACTGTAAACACCAGTTGAATCACCTGAATTCTCTATCCTCAATAGTGTGAAAAAAAACATCTTCAGTCTCCATTCATAATTAACACAAGAAAGTAATCTGGGTCCATAACTGAAATTTGCTAATGGTCACAGCTAGTAGGAGCAGACGGCGACCTACAGAATTAATCCTTAGCAATTTGTAACTTTCTATTTTTCTGTCTGTACAAACCATACCTATGGGTTTTTCAGGCATATTTATTTGCATATTTTAGAGACAGTGATCTTCTATATAAATACTGATCAGTCGTATATTATATAGGAACTTTGCTTTATGCACCTTGCTGGCATATGGTTAATAAAGCAGGATAGAACTACGATGCGCCATCTAACAATCATAAAAGAGATTCCTGTGACATGTAATTGCATGCCATATGACATGTCCATTACCTTGTTTATTAGTTATAACAACATTCCATCTTCCTGTGGTTGCTACACTAGATCTCTTTGCTGCCATGTTTACTGAGAAAAGTGACAAACATCAGCGCTGCATCAAAGAATAGAAGAGAAGTCAATACATCTTATTGAAAATGGAGACATCCTACCTGGAATATAGCATCAATACCAATAAAAACAAGAATGTCATTTAAGTTATGTGATATTATTTATACACTGCCACGTCCAAAGAGCAATTTATAGGCTCAGCTAGTAAATAAAAAGGCAATTGTCCCATCGCCTATACCATAAAAGAGAAAAACTCCCTAAGCCCCCATGTCTAGACTCTAGTGCAATACATAAAATCATCACTGGGTCCCCAGGCAGTGCTTCATCATGTTAATCCTACATCCTCAGACAAACAATCAATGCTTTGTAAAATTATGCACTTGAATACATTAACATTTTTTCAGAAACAAAAGCAATTGCCTAAGAATCAATAAAGGCATAAGATATAAATACAAATATCAATAAAAGGCCAGAGATATAAATACAAATAATGAAAACAGTCCATTATTTAGGCACAGTAAGTGCCAAAAAGTATTTTGGGCTCTCGGTTTATAATAAATTTTTATGGAACAAATTGCAGCAGTTCGGTGTTTTAAGGGCTCAGTTATGAATTGCTATATTTATGTATCATTTCTCTTGCTGTGTAATGCTAAAGGAAAGAAATCCAGATAGAACACACAATTTAGTAACAAATATGCCACTTGGGTAATTGTGTGTCAGTATTTGTTTGTGAAATCACCGTTTGATAGAAAACGTTCTGCTCTGTTCCAGCAACACTTGATAAAGGGATGGCAGATCTGTTCAGTGAGTGAACAGAGATGAATCTCCATCATTGGAGCCCGTAGACACACGGCCTTTAGTGCCAAGGCAACAACCTTTGTTTTTGTGCTTGACTTGTCTTAAACTGGCTTGCTACATTGTGACAATCTACAAATAAAATTTTTTGTTTTACTGTGCTTTTGACAGATCATGGGAAAGTGTGCCAGTTATGGGGGAAAGCCTATGCCTTGTCTCTGTTGCCCATAAGCAAATGCCCAATGTGCCCCAGGACCTGTGTCGACAGGCTTTGGGCTTTGTCATGGCATCAGTTTGATATCTTAAGATAGTTGGGCCAGAGTTGGTTTCCTATGGTCCCCCTATTGTGGACATCCTAATGTAATAAATTATATTTATATGGAGTTCACATGATGAAGTAGAATAAATAACCTGTGAACTTAGATTTATTGGGGGTAATGTGCGTTTAACTGTAGGAGGAAAAGGAAATTTTTGTTGACTGGTGTAGATAGTGGATTGATAGAAGTGAATTAATTTCCCAGGCTGGAAGCGTACTGTAGCATTGGACCCCTGATGATGTTAGACATTGCCGATGAAACGCGTAGAAGGAGCTTACTTGACACGTCACTTCCGGTTGGTGGAACACAGGTATAGCTCAAACCAGCATTCTTTTTTTAAGTATTTATGCTTGGATGATGTTACTTTATGTAAGTGCAATTTGATAGCGATTTTTAATAAATTAACCTTATTACATTATGAAAGGTTCTTCTATCTTTTCCCTTCTATGAGGGAGGTTTTAATACAGTCTCTTGATGCACAAGATCGTTGTGGTTGTATGCTATATTCAGTCCTTCAAGTATATTAATGGGAGAACAAGATTTACCAGAGATATCTTAAGTGCAATTGACCTTCTTTGAGAAAAAAGAGGTCATATATTTCTGGTGAATTCGGTGTGTTACACTTTTTTGGGAAGGAAGATTGCTTAATTTCCGGGTGTTTCCTCTCTCTTTTTGCACAATTTGGATAAAGAATGGAGCACAAAGCTCTTTGAATTTATGGACTTTATATAAAATTATTATTCATATTGATTTTGCGCCTAATTTATATTGGTAACATGTGTATATTAGGCTGGCATTATTTATTTATTTCTTGTACATAGTCTATGTGGGAGGTAGGCATTTGTGCGAAAATATTTTTTTCATTGTTTTTTGCACTCAATTTACATTTGTATGAATTCATGCATGATTTTGGTTGTTAACATTACACAGAGTTTATGTTTGGAGGAAGGGTTAATTTGCACATGCTTATTTATTATTTATGATTAGGGTTTACGAAATACGGTCTATTTTTATGTAATGGAAGAGCACTGTGATGTATTTTGACAGGCAGTTGAGCCTTCTAGTAATCACAGTATCAATCATGCCTTTGGGTTGTGGTATGTGGCCAGGATACTGACCCTACCCTATGCCAATCTCTACCTAGACAGATATATAGACCAACAGTAGCCAAAGACATACTTACTGTCTGGTTGTTATCTCCCTATAATAAACGCAGTTGTATATCTGTTCTATCATTTTTTATTTTTCCAATAATTCTGCATTGCCCTATAAGGTTATACACCTAGCACCCTTATGTCTTCCTTTCATTTACTACATTATAAGTTTTAGACAGTTATGAATAAAAGTGAAGTTTTAGGTCATAGTTGGTTTGGTACGTGGGTATAGTGCACCCCTGGTGTTGTTTCTCTATTAATATTTCCCACGTAAAGAACAGTCTTACAGTATAAGTATACATCAAGTAGTTTTTTGTTTGTTTTGAATTCCTGTTGAGCAATCATTTGAAGTAGATGTGCGTGTTTTTAATTTTGGTGGGTTGGTGAGAGCAGTTTATCAAAATGTTGTGGATCTACATCACTAGCAATGTGACCAACAATGAATTTACGTTATGGGGCATTTATTTTAACAAAGGACTAGTCAAAGTGTGTTTGTGCGTTTATTTCCTTTACAAACCCCTGAGGGGCTGGATATTTGGAGGCCCACTTATTTTAAAGACGGGTTTGAGCTTCCGATAAGCCCCTTGTTCTGACCCCCACAACCACTTAGTGAAAACTGTGTGTGGAAGAGGCCATTATCCCCTTTGGCAAGGTACCTTCCCCATGTTCAGAGCATGTGGTCTAGTGTGTTCAGGTGCCTGGCTGAATGCTCAGACAGTGTCTGGTATGGATTTTGGGGGACTCCACTGCATTTTGTTTTCTTGTGTGGGATCCCTCTTGACATCCACCCCATACCCTCATCAAGGCTAATGGTCTGGTATGTATTTTTAGAGGGAATCTCATGCCATTTTGCATGGGCTCCCCCATTAACATCTATACCAAGCCCCAATCTAAGATAAGAACAGGAAAAAATGGAGGGGAGGTGTAGTTTACTGATAATTTTAATGGCTTTTTTTTGATATGTCAGTTTTGCTGCCACAGAGACGTTTGTCATGATTCAGCAAGTCTACGGTGATGCTGCAATTAGTCGTTTGAGGTGTTTTGAGTGGTACACACACTTCAAGAGCAGCAGAACATCACTGGAAGATGAAGAGAGATCGGGAAGATCTTCAATTAGCTCAACCCCTGAAAATCCATTCGGCAACTTTTGCATGATCATCCTCCTCAGGGAACAATCCACAACATTGCTGCCATAGTCGGTGTATCAATCCTCACATGTGATTCAAACTTGCGCTGTGCTGCTGCCAAGCTTATCCCCAGGCTACTGACCCAGGAACAGTAGGAACAATGTGTTGAAGTCTGCCAAGAACTGTGTCAGTGTGACATGGATGACCCATCCTTCATGTTGAGGATCATTACCGGTGACAAAACTTGGGTTTCACCTCCCTGGACACAGGTGTATTAAATAAAGGACCTAGGCATGCAGACTGCTTCTACAAACATTTGTGAAAGAATGGGTCATTCTCAGGAGCTCAGTGAATTCAAGCATGGTAGCGTGATAGGTTGCCACCTGTACAAGTCCATCTGTGAAATTTCCTTACTACTAAATATTCCACGGTCAATTGTTAGTATTATTATAACAAAGTGGAAGCAACTGGGAACAACAGCAACTCAGCCACCAAGTGGTAGGCCACGTAAAATGACAGAGTGGGGTCAGCGCATGCTGAAGGGCACAGTGCGCAGAAGTTACCAACTGTCTGCAGAGCCAATAGCTAAAGATCTCCAAACTTTGTGTGGCCTTCAGATTAGCACAACAACAGTGTGTAGAGAGCTTGATGGAATGGGTTTGCCTGACTGCATTGTGTCAAGTGCAACGTTTGGTGGAAAGGGGATTATGGTGTGGGGTTGTTTTTCAGAGGTTTGTGCTTGGCCCCTTAGTTCCAGTGAAGGGAACACTTAAGGCGTCAGCATACTAAAGACATTTTGTACAATTTCATTCTCCCAGCTTTGTGGGAACAGTTTGGGGATGGCCCCTTCCTGTTCCAACATGACTGCACACCAGTGTAAAAAGCAAGATCCATAAAGACATGGATGAGCGAATTTGGGGTCGAGGAACTGGATTGGCCTGCACAGAGTCCTGACCTCAGCCCAATGGAACACCTTTGAGATGAATTATAGTGGAGACTGCGAGCCGGCCCTTCTGGTCCGACATCAGTGCCTGACCTCATAAATGCACTTCTGGAAGAAGAATGGTCAAACATTTCCATAGACACACTCCTAAACCTTGTGGACAGCTTTCCCAGAAGAGAATGAAGCTGTTATAGCTGGAAAGGGTGGGCCAGCTCAATATTGAACCCTATGGACTAAGACTGGGATGCCATTAAAGTTCATGTGCGTGTAAAGGCAGGCATCCCAATATTTTTGGCAGCATAGTTTGAATTAATGTATTTATGTGTGTGTTTTTATATATATATATCGCCTTGGAAAAGTATTCATACCCCTTGACATTTTCCACATTTTGTCATGTTACAACTAAACACGTAAATGTATCTTATTGGGATTTTGTTGGATAGACCAACACAAAGTGGCACATAATTGTGAAGTGGAAGGAAAATTATAAATTTGAATATTTATTTGTGAAAAAAAAAATGTGAAAACCATTTATCATTTTCCTTCCACTTCACAATTATGTACATTTTTGCAATGAGATATGCCATTCCAGGGCAGCGTTTGGTCCTCCATGCCATTTGTTTGACATTCCCTTGCCTATTAGCCTTGGAAATGACCAGAACTGCTTTTAAAGATTCAACTCCTATTGACTTCAGTGGAGTTCAAGTTAACGTTCAGAACATCAGAGCAGCTCGTCAAACCTTCCATAAACTAAACCCAGTCATTTGATCTGTTTTCTAGCTGAATTAGCCTGTTGTTCTACAGGTATTTATAATACAAAAATGTGTGGGTTGGCGATATGTAGAAAAAAAGTGGCTTATAAAAATAGAGCAGTGCTAAAGTGTTAGCAAAACTACTATGTAAAAAAAAATGCTAAGCTAAGCAACACAAAGCTCGTTCATATTTATAAATTGCTGTTTTGTCTCCACCTCAGAGGTTTTCCTTAAACTTTATAGAACCTCACAATTATTATCAAGTGGAGGCTAGTCATATTAAGGAGTGATATCCCATGTGGTGATCTTTGCTAGTTGACCCCCATATATCTTAATCTCTTATTGGTCAAAGGAGGGTTCTTTGGCTTTTCTGCAAAAAATCTACACCCATCTTATTCTTTGGCAACCAGACTGGAAGATATTATTGTCAAATGCGGAACAATAAAGCTTTCAAATTTGAAGCTATAATAACACCCTGGTTAATAATAATTACTGAAAGATGTTTCATTTGCTTTGCATAAAGCCACACTGATTATAGCTTTATCAAATGAAATATGGGGTGATTCAGCCCAGGCAAGATCTCCACGTTAAGCATCTCTCTGCTAAATGGCTAGAGAAATAAATGTTCAGCTGCCACAGCTTATGCTCAACAGAAAACCACTTAGCAAAATGTAGTATTTAATAACTTCTTTGGCTTCATTGTTTTTTTTTTTTTAGCAGCATTATGGTTTTATCTCTGCTTCTCGTGTAAGTTAAATTTCATGGTAATGCATTGCTATGCTATTTAAATAATACTACAGCTTTGGATGAGGTCAATTATATATATGAGATAATGGTTGCATAAGGATGAAGCCAGCTTCAATTTGATTTCACGATGCCAGACAAGAAGAATAGGGCAGGAAACAAGAGCTCTTACATTTCCTGAGCTTTACACCCACACATTGCTTTTTTTTTTTTAATGAAAGGATCAGATACATTTTTATATGCATTAAATGGAACAAATTCCGTAACCAGTGGCACTTCAACATCAGTTTAGACAGTCACCGTTCATATACATGACAGTTAAAATACAGGCCCATTAGTGCAAAACCATGATCTGCAAGGAGAATCAGGATCATGCTAACTATAAAGTGCTTGTGATCCTGTTCAGGGGAAGAGAGTTGCACATAAATTCATTTATAAGTTTTGTTGGTTTGATATTTTATTTTATGTCCCACTACTTGTGGATTTAGGGGCAAGGAGCTGTTTTAAGGACACAGCTATCTCATTTATTTCTGAAGACTGCAGTTGGTCAAAAGTGGATATTCATTACAAAAAAAATTCTGCTTTCTAATAGTGTTATCTTGTTTAAAGCAGTATTAAACCTAAAACCAAACATTTATTATACTGCAGCTTACCAATTCTTAGATGCGGTGGCTGCATTAGAGGTTTTTTTTTAGGCTTTCTTTCTTCTATTTTCATCTGGTAAGTCTGTTTTTTTTTTTAAAAAAAAACAAGCTTTCTTCCAGATGTATCTCTTTACAGGAGTGAGACAAACTATTTACCACTGACAACAGTGCTTACAATAATCAGCTTTTATTTATTTATGTAAACCCTTCATCTTGAAAGGGGGAAAAAAAACTGTTTGGTTTAACTGCTCATCTTAACTTAGCTAAAGTTTGGCTTCAATTTGTTTGTGTATTTAAATCTGCTAGTACATCTAACATTTCCCTCCCTTTGATTGACAATGCTAGCTGTCCGAATGTGCCCCCTGTGCTCTTTCATCTAGAGAGGCAGCACTCTAATACAGGAGGTGTGTTACTGGCCGGATCACCAGGTGAAAACAAAAATTAAAAAGCCTAAAAAGATAACTAGTGCAGCCACCACATCTAATGGTAGGTAAGCTGCAATATATTACATTTTTGGTTTTGGGTTTAACAATGCATTAATTCTGCATGAATCACAAAATATACTAAGTGTTAAAATGAAAAGCAGAAGGTGCGGTCGGCTGCACTCCAATCAATCCAATTTATTAGGCATACGATAAAACCAAATGACAGACAGTGGAAATACAGTGGGGGACAAGCAGGTAAATGTTTCATTCTGAGGGCTTGTTCACACTTTACTAAATTTCGAACTCTTACCAAACACTCCTATAGCTTTAGTATGGGTGTTAGACAGGCATTAGGTCTAGTTCACACTGGCTTTTAAAGCATGTGTTTAGGGGTGTTTTTAACGCTCCTCAAATACCTATGGAAATGATACTATGGGCAGCACACACTGCTGTTCACATGATCAAACATGAAGTGTTAGTGTCTAGTCACTTTAAAATTGAAGCCTCATGTCGAATCAGGAGGATATTGAAGCCTTTCAACGCCTCCCATCCAAGTCTATGATGACGCTCCTCAAACGCCCTGGTAGGCGTTTGTGGGGTGTTTGCAGTGTGGCTGCAGCATGTTAACGCTATTAGAGTTTATTATAGGCATTTGTGGTGCAGTTTCAATGTTTGTAAAACGCTTATAAAATGCCTCAAAACCGTACATAGGGCATTTGGGGAGCATTTTTAATGCTTGTAAAACACCCATACTAAAGCTCATTAATGCCTGTCTAACTATAGGAACAAGCCCTAAGAGCAGCGCTTAATCATTACCATATATATATGTATATAATAAGGATTACTAGAGCCTTTAAGTTCTGAAAGGGAGCATTATTCATGGATTCATACATGTTTATTTGTGCATACTTTCAAAGATATTGTATCTATTTAAACTCCTGGCATGTAACAATATATAGTATTGGCATAATGTTTTTCCAAAAATAATGTGCAATTTATTATTAAAAATCTGTTTTTTGACCTTGAATCAAGTGACTTTGCCTAGACATAGATGATGTCATATATCTGCTGTAAGCAGAAGAAAGCATTTCCTCAGTCTCCCACATTGAACAGACTGCAGCATCTTATGTAGTGAGTCATAAAGTGAGAGGATGCAGTATATGGCTGATCTATGTCAGACATTTGTAGACACAGCCGAAAGCTTATGCAAACATCAAAATTTAGAAATGCAAATGGAGGCATTGTCCATGTCAGGAGTAATGTGTTGCAGCCTACAGGCCTTAGATGGCTGCATTCATTTTCTTTTATGCATTTTTCCTTTATATTTACCTGGTCATCCTGCCAGTAACATGCTTCCAATTCTAGGGATTAAGTGCTCACTTACCATACTGTATCCATGAAGGAACAGCATTGTCACCCTAGAACAGGACTACAGAATACCTCCTCTCTTCTCCATAATATAAAAGGGGCATGTTTTGTAGGATACAGAGATTTCTAGGAACACTGAACTGAGAAGAGTGCAACACAAGAAGAGTGTACAGAAAGTTTTCAGGCTCAGGGGTAAACTGAAGGTCTGGGCCCTGCAGGAGAAAGTCAGATCTAGGAGCCCACCTGGTCAACCTGTACAATTTTTCATCACAACTGTATGTCGTCATCTAAATGCATTGCTTTTATTTCTGATGCCACATCACAGAAGAATTATAATTTGCATTGTATTTATACCACAATTGTTCATCTTTTATTCAGACATAATATTCAATTTGATCTTTACATTTATATGCTCAATGAACAAGATACAAGATATATCTAACAGTGATAAAACAAAGGACGTGAAAATCAAGTACACAGTTATTGATCAGGCTATTGTCAAGTATAATGAGGATGATGACCAATGCTACAGATCTGAAATCTTTGCATTACCCAGTACTAAGGACATATACATGTAGAACTCTCCTAGTTAGGTGCTGGAAGTGAGTCAAATTCAGTTTTTGGGCTCTGCTGTACTAGTGGAGCTGTGATTGCGTTTGGTCTACTCTGGGTTCTGCAGCTGCAAGCTTATCTGTCTCCCAGTTTTTCCAGAAATCTCTGGACCATAGTAAGCGGAGAGGGTAAAGTCCTGTATGCAGCCTCAGACAATCCCTGGTCGGGAAAGTTGACCAGAAGGGAGCTGAGAGAGGTA